TTGTGGCTTCGTGATGCTTTTGTTCACAAGATTCTTTGGTGCATCAATGCTCACTGGTACTGAAATCTACTACTTACTTTTTATGCATATGGAATGTGTAATGCTTTCACAGTCTGGTTGTTTTGTGCTCCTCGTAGGATGACAGCATCTTGCTTATTTAGAAAAGGGGGCATAACCAATCCAATGACTGATGAATTTTCTGTCTGCCCCCTTTTCAGCTTTTACTGGGTCAAAGAATTTGCATGTAGTTCCTGCAGCAAACACTTACGTACAGGTTTTTCTTTCTTTCTTTCTTTCTTTTTTTTTTAAATTATTGCATTTACTTTTTTTCATTTAATTGAAGACTACAATTTATATTTTCCAAAGTAAAACAAACTATGAAATAGTTGAAATTTGATGGAGGAAAGCAATCAAAGCCGTCATCAATTTTCATCTCTTTTTCTCATAAGAATAGATGAGGGCACTATAGCAACATTATTTCCTCTTAAGTTATCAGGACTCGTAAATAAGATTTTCCTTTTGCTTCCTAACTATTAAATAATGAAGTCGTGATTTTTTGGTAAATAAAGCTGTGATGTTTTCCTCTGTTTAACTTGCTTAAATGACTTAACCGGAGTCTCTTTTGCTGTCAGATTCGAGGCTTGGCATGGCCTGCATTACTTGTTGGATGGGTTGCTCAAAGTGCTAGGTCAAAATATGCTCTATTTATTTCTCAAGCTTTATTAGCTGAAATGAAAGATTGCTACTTTGTGCCTTTTTTTTTTTTTTAATTTGAGCCTTTACGAGATTCTGCTCGACATTCTATTTCATTTACATATAATTGTTCATATTAATCCTTGTGAGCTGTTCAATGGGATGATAGAGCTTCTCTTTATATTTGCTCAGAACCTGTTGTGACCCATTTTTCCTTGTTCAGATGGTGCTGAGATAGTATTACTGTTCGACCAATATGCATGACTATACTTTCGGGCTTCTCATTCAAATTTCCTTATCCTGTATCTTCAAGTTTCTACTTACCCTTAGCAGAGTTTATTGTAATACATGATGTCTTTCTATAAGTAATTCATTAAACATAGGCTTATTAATTGAAGCCATTGTCCTAATATTAGCGTTCTCTCTCACAGTCTTGGTATGAAGGATTCCTGGGGACCCTTGAAGGCTTTGGCCGCCGCTAGTGCTGTAAATGGCATTGGTGACGTAGTATTATGTATTTTTCTGGGCTATGGTATTGCAGGGGCCGCGTGGGCTACAATGGCATCACAAGTATGTTAAAATTCACATATAATGCATTAACTATCATATGCTGCTCCAAATGTTCTCAGTTTATGTGCCCATGCGTTCATGTGAATTATTATCCGTTAACTGTCATATATCCGATCCTTTACCTCTTGCCTTCCTGTTTTTAGGTGGTTGCTGGGTACATGATGCTTCAGAGTCTAAAAGAGAAGGGATATAATGCATATGCCCTCTCCATCCCCTCAGCCCAAGAGCTTTTTTCGATAGTTGGGCTTGCTACCCCTGTATTTGTTACACTGATATCAAAGGTTGCATCGAGTATTGAACTTAATTATGTTGCTTAAATCCGAATCTCTTTTGACTCCCCCCCCCCCCCAAAAAATGTTACTGAGACTTGTAATATATAGGTGGCTTTCTACTCACTACTTATATATTTTGCCACATCAATGGGCACACATACAATGGCTGCTCATCAAGTTAGTTTTACGCCTCTCTAATTTTTTTGCACTGTATTCCTTGATTTGCTTGCTGTCGGTATCTGAAATTCAAGGGCCCTGACATGACTTGACTCTAATGTTAGGTCATGGTTCAAACCTACACCACATGTACAGTATGGGGTGAACCTCTCTCTCAAACTGCCCAATCATTTATGCCGGAATTGATTTATGGCGCTAAGCGGAGTTTGGCAAAGGTTAGATTAGAAGGGATTTTCTTCACCTGTGGCTGTCACTGCTGCTGAATTTCTGCATGCATACTGTTGGAAAAAAAAATCCTGAATTTTCATAATGTCAACAGGCTAGAGTACTTCTAAGGTCTCTAGTAATAATTGGAGCTATACTCGGATTGCTGTTAGGAATTGTTGGGACATCAATTCCTTGGTTATTCCCCAAAATTTTTACACCCGATCAGATGGTTATCCAGGAGGTTAGTGCTTGCGCTTTATACTTTAGATAGTCATCTTATGTGGTGTCAATCATGATTTGCGTTAAAAAAATAAATGATTTTGAGAGCGGATATATTATATAAACAAAAATAGTAGTTAACTATTGTATTTGTGAACTGTGACCATGCAGATGCACAAGGTGCTGATTCCATACTTCTAGCGCTTGTTGTAACACCCTCCACTCTTAGCCTTGAAGGAACATTGCTGGTATGTTCATTTAACCCCTAAACTTTTCCAAAGAAATACAAGTAAAATTTAGGCCAGGACATAAACAGGCCGCGTCAAGTCTAATTGCTTAGAATTACCAATAAGCTCCCCTAAACTTACTTAAATAGGGTTGTCAGATTTGGGCGATCCATCCGCTGAATATGTTGTCGCCCCCTATTTATAGGCATCCATTACACGTTATCAACTGAACTCTGCTATTTCAACTTTAGTACCCCCTTTTTGTACTCTTTGTATGATGTGATCCATATCCTCTTATGCACTATCGAACGGTAACTTAACACAAATGCGTGATTATTTAGCGTATGATATATTTCTCCAACTTGCTTTGCTTTACTATTCATGGATTGAACATTATACGGCTACGTCTAGCAGTTTCATGGTGTGTTTATTTATGCAGGCTGGACGCGATCTGAGATTTATGAGTTTATCAATGGGCGGATGCTTCACCTTCGGTGCATTTATACTATTGGTAGCAACCCCTTTCTTGGTCTCCTTTGTACAATGTGATATCGCTCTCTCACTTCTTGCGTAACATTCAATTTCCCTTGACGCCAGATACTGAGCAGCAGGTATGGCTTGCAAGGCTGCTGGTTTTCGCTCGCAATATTTCAATGGGTAAGACTAGGATCTCCAGCTTGCATCAAGTACAGCATTGTTTATAAAATTCTGATGTTCAATTATTTTATCGTCTATAGGCTCGCTTTTCGATGTCCCTCCAGCGTCTACTTTCGCCCAATGGCATGTTATTCTCTGAAGATTTTGAGCAGTATAAGCAGCTCAAGGCTGCGTAGGTTGGGAGCTCAGTTTTATAATAATCATGACACACTTTAATCGGGATAGAAGCACTCTTGTATTTGTAGTATCAAAAAGGTAGGCATGCGCTTGTGATCATATGCCAGGGCTCACATTATTAATTCTTAGAAGCATGACGTAATGCAAGCAATTTATATGCCCAAGTGCTCCGACTGTAATTTTATTTCTAAATTTAGATCGATATTATATTCAGCGATCCAGGCACACAAACCAGGCCCGATGGAGAAGGTATTACACGCCTAAAATTCGTTATCATTTATATGCTTCCTCCATAAAAATATTTATTGCCAAAACTGCTTGAAATTTGTTTACTTAAAGGGGTGCAATTCTTTTTCAATTATGTACAATATATTTTTAGTTATATATGATTGTCTTTTGTTTTTCTTTTTTATACAGGATATACGTAACTTTTAAGCTACGCGCAATATATTTTTAAGTATGTGTAAAAATTTTAAAAAAAAATATTTACATATAGTTAAAGATATATTGCACATTTGAAAAGTTGTGTTCATTAAAAATGAGTCATACCCACGCAAGGACTTGGGTGGTCAAACAAATTTTAGGCACTTTTAAAGGATAAACATTTTAATGAGATTTTTCAGTAACTTTTATTATATATTATTACATCCTCCTAACTCCTTAGCATTGAAAAGTGAAAAAAAAAAAATTGTATGATTTAGAGCTTACTTGTATCAAAAATATAAATGAAATGAGTTTTTGAACCGATTTGTCTAATTTATGCCCGTATAAAAAGGTAATTTATTGTGATAAAAAATATAATTATTTTTACACGAACATAATTATTGGTCTCGGGCCAAATAGGATTGTTGGCCTTAGGCAATTAGGCAACAAATCCCTCCTCTGAATACCATTTCTATCAAAAATGGTCTTTCGAAGCAGCCATTTTCGTTCGAACCGGATAATTATTCATAGGAGCATATATGGGACGTGGTCCGAGTTTTAAAAGGCATGCGCAGTCAGTTTTTCTTCCACGATTTCAGATGCTGACGTTGGAATAACACCTAAAACACACACATTTTGTCGTGTTATGATCATCTACAATGAAGCCAACATCCATGGGTTTGTTTAGAATTTCTTATAAATAATTTTATAAATAACTTTTCATCCATGATCTACAAAATACAAAACAAATATATAAAATGAGTTTCATTCTAACTTATATGAATTGTGTATATAAATCATTTTAAACATAACGCCAAACATAGCCTATACATTTCTAAGCTTGTAGCAGCAACAATAAACTTTTTTCCATCAAGAAATATTGACTAAGTAGATCCTATGATGCCATTGAATTCAATCAATAACCAACTTAAGTTTGCAATCTATAATATTTCAGCTCTTTTTGGAAAATAATCAACATGCATAACCTAATTTCAGTTTGAGATTAGGGGTGTTTTTTTCGTACAAATCGAGACAAAACTATTTCTACATAGTTAGCTCGTACATCATAAATTAATTTAACCTAAATCCTCCAAAACAAGTTTGCTTCCTAGTTTCTCAAGCAAAATAATCATTGTACAAAACATGCAATATTCTTCCTCAGCAGTGAGATTTCAAAAAGTTACTTTCAAAATTACCTTCAATATTCATAAAATTACTTTCAAAAATTTAATCTAAATCCTCCGAAACAAGTTTGCTTCCCAGTTTCTCAAGCAAAATAATCTATGTACAGAACATGCAATATTCTTCCTCGGCAGCGAGATTTCATAAGTTACAAGAGTTCTATACATAACCATAGAAATTCATCTGCCTTAAATATGCTTGTGAATTTAGCTTCTAAATGCCATGCATGCAAAGCCTCACTCCGTATAGGGCAAACCTCAACATAAGTACACCAAGAATTGTTAGCTAGTGTTTCCAAAATTATCTCCGCCGCGAAAACTTTGACCCTTGCTCCTTACTCTGCAATATTTATTAGACAATTAGGGAAGTGTCGCGAGAGACAGGCGAAATTAGGAAAATGAAAGCTAAGCCCTTGCTTACTAGTTTTGGTTTTAGCTGTTTTCTCAGAAACACTTTTCGAGCTTGCTTCTTCTTCTCTTCTGCCTTCAATTTGGTGAGACTAGGCCTGTATATAATCACTGTCCGACCAATTTGACCAACAGTCACCGAACCAGTTGCTTCTTCCAGCTGCTTCACGACCTCATCTAGCTCTCCTGGACAAGTCCGGTGTATTTTAATCTGCATACGTGCCATTCAAATGCAAGTACAGATCAAAAGAATCCTTTTTTTTTTTAACGTCATCCAAGAATCATTGAGCTAGGGAAAGCAGAGAGGAAACGCAACATGAAGAAAAACAGTAAATTGGATATTTGTGCTTCAAATTACTCTTTCCCGTCCGCAGGTACCTTATTTTTGGATATCCCTTACCATTCAGTCACTGAACTACGTGAACAAAAACCTGCAATTGTTTCATACATACACTGATATCCCGAAACCTCAACTCAAATGGTAAAAATCTAACTCGTCCAAGGTCCGACTGTGTAATAATTTCAAGCAAAGACACGCTCAGCAACATATCTACCAACAAGCTAATTCACAACATAAAAGCATGCACACCAGATTGATATGATACTATTAACATATTATAGATTAGAAAACTACTTTCAAAAGCAAACCAATTAGACAAGCAATACACAAAAAGGGGCGAGGAAGAAAAAGACAGTCCAACAGAAGCAAACTACAGATGAACTTGAAACCTAGCTTAAAGGGAATCGCAGACCTCATGAATACTTGACAGCCTATGCCGAACAGAATCCCCAGTATAAGCTCGACAAGGAGGAAAATAGGAAATGAACATTAATTTCCCTTTATTATCCATTCTCTCCTTACTCGTCAAATGAAATATGATTCAAAATCCCGGCGTACAAATAAACAGACAATAATTTCCATAACTAATGCTAACATACAAAACTCAGAACCAAAAAGCAATCTCTAGAGGCATAGCATCAATTATAAACTAAATTTCAGGGAATTAGTACCTTGAGAAGCTCGTTAGCTTCAAGGGTCTCAATGAAAGAGGTCGCAACATTAGGTGTAACACCAGACTTGCCACCAACTGGCTTTTCAGCTTTCTCCCCAAGCTATGAGCGTAAGAGGCGAGCTCTTTCCTTTCCTTCACAGTGAGACTGGGCAACTTCAACCTCTCCTCCCTGTTTCTCTCTAATGGCGACAAATCTGAACCCCTACTCATCTCGATATGCTCATCTTCGTTTTCAATCCGCTCTCTTCAGTGTACGGTTCAATTGTTTCATCGTCCTCAGCAATGTCCGCCAAATCTCCAGCTCCCACAGCATCGCAATGTCTCTGAGGAGCAGAAATCACATGTGCAGAGAAAGAGTGAGAGAAGAAAGGATTAGAGAGGTGAGTGGGAGAGGCAAAGAGGGATTTCCGACGATGTGGAATTTGGATCCGTCCAACGAGTTTAGGTACAGCAGTGGGAGCAGTAGAGGAGGATAAGAGCAGAAGAGGTTTCAGAAAAGAAACATAAGAAGGTGAAGATGGCGATATCGAAGACAGAGAAGATGGTTGAGAACGAAGAATGTGCAATAGATGGCTGGATGGCGCATTTGCCGCCATAACCGCGCAAATCTTCGGATTGCAGCACCCTGCAAAGAAATTGAGAAACTTCGTTGGTGTTTCGGTTGAGGGTTTTTTATCTTCAAATGTGTCCTGGACCTTTTTGATGCAGTATCTACCGGACCAGTAGTAGTGGTCGCACCACAAACGATACAATGAAAGAATCAATAAAAATATAACTTTAGTCCTCTAATTTTAAATTGAGTTTCAGTGGGTCCTTAATCTTGGTTGCTCAATTTTATAAAATATTTTTTTAGTTTTTAAACCGTGATCATTTTTTTTATTCAAATTATTGTTATTTTTTGAATTTAAATTTATTATATTAATAATCAAAAGTATTTTGTCAATATTAAAATCTTAATGTTAGCATTTGTTTTTGGTTAACAACATTAAGATTGAAGAAATAAAATGGCACTTCTTGAAATTAAAAAATAAAAAAATCTTACGCAAAACTGCATCTTTTTCTCTCTCTTCTTTTTATTAATACCAGAAACTGCATCTTTCTCTCAGTATCCCTTTTTTTTCACCCCTCACTTGTAAATTGAAATGATTGATTAAGGGTGTGTTTGGCTCAATAAAAAAGATAGGAATGAAGGAATTTTAATGGAGATAAATGAGATGAAAGAAATGGAAGAGATTTTAATATTACCTTGTTTAGTTTAAGAAAAGAGAGGAGGCAAAATATTTTGTATGGACAACTTTACCCCTATATTATTTAAGTTGATTTTTACAAACTTTATAGAATAATTAATAAAATATAATTATAAATAATATTTAATATAGGGACAATGACAAAAAAAGAAATTGCAATTTGTAAATGCCAAACAAAGAATGTCAACAAAAATTCATTGTCATTTGCAAATTTAGACTTGTCAATACTAAATAAAGTTATGTTATCAAACCTGATTTGGGATTTGCAATTTCCAACTTCTTTTTCTGTCATTCTCCCTTTAATATATGAGGGAAGAGAAGTATGATTGGATCCATAAATATATCAAATCACATACAATTCAGTAATAAAGAGTAACGTGATATTACTAAAAAAATAATATAGACATATTAGTCAACACAAGTCAAAATATTACCATTTTCTTTCAAGTTCTTCCAATTTTAGAAGGGAGGCTTATGAGAGGAGGGAAGAGAAAAGATTAAAAATTTTTGCTTCCCTTCTAAAATGTTTATCTTACAAAATAAAAAAAATGATTAAAATCTCTCCTCTTCTGTTCTAAATCCTTCATGGGAGGGCATCCCTCGTCGCTTCGTTTAGGGCTATTTCGCACATGCCTTTTTTTTTTGCTCATATATTCGTGTCCTCTTAATAGAGAGAGAGAGAGAGAGAGGAAAGTTACTAAATTTAATCTGATTCGCGCAATTACATTGAATTTTTTAAAAAAATTAAAATTAAAATTCCCCAATTTTTTTGACTTTTCATATTTTACTTTCTAACAGTACTCCTTGATTTTTAATATAAGATCAAGTTGATTAATTTGAAAAGATTAAAAAAGTTTATAAATTATTTGATTATAGTATATATTACATGATAATTATAAATACTTTAAGATAATTTAGCAACTTTCTTAATTTTTCAAAATTAATCATATGGATCTTATCCTAAGAATTGGAAGTATTTTTTGTTTTAATTCATACACTACATCGTAGCCATCATTTCCCCTTCCTTTATTAGTTACTACAATTGTTGTCAAACTCGCGAGATAACTCTCGAGTTTAATGTTTCTACATTTTTAACTTATAAAATTGTGTCAAGTTATTCTTAAACTCTTGTTCCCTATAAATAAATTCAGTCAAACTTACGAGTTCACTAGCTAGTTTCCTGTTTTTACTTTTTTAGTTTACAAATTCATATTAACTTCTTTTTAAACTTTGTGCTATGTTTTTGGATTTAGGTATGCTTAGTGAGTTTGTATGTCAATTTTATAAAAAAAATTTCTTTATTAAATATGATAAGTTATGAAAATTAATGAATTTAATTTTAATTATTTAGATTCAAAATATATTTAAATGAAATTATTATAATTTTTATATTTTAATTATTTAAAAATATATTTTTAATACTAATTTATTAATAAAAATAAATTCTTATAAGTTGACTATTTGAATTTAGCGTCCAAATTTATATTCTTATTAAGAATTTGTTTAGATTCGCTCAACCTTGATTCTCGCCGGCTTTTCAAGTCCCATAGCAAGTTGGCAGCCAAGAATGCTGTTTCATTATGACTTCTTCTCCTTCTTCTGTCAGGTCTCGTCATGCTCCAGCCAGGTTTGCCCTTCATTCATACTCTTGCACCTATCCTCTCTAACACACTAATGTCAATTTGCAGCAACACATACATCTCATAGCTTAGCCTGAAGGTAACTGTATATGCTGCATTATTCACGTCACGTCCATCATATTTTACGATCCAAAAATGAAGTTGATCCACGTGATCGAGTAACTGTGTCAACATCTAGAATAACATGTCCAAGAATTTCTCCATTTCATTTACTAAAAGTAGAAAGAAAAACTGCTGGCTCATGATGATATGGTGCTTCAATAGGGTTTAAGCTTTAATCTATGATTATGCCTCCAGCGTTACTAAAGCAGGCTCAGCAACCACCTTTATCTTTTTATAGTGAAAATGTAATTTTATTGATAACTAGTATTTATAAGAGAAAAGCAAAAAGGGTCAGGCTCTGATCAACTATGACCCATTTGTTCGTGATGATCCTGGGCCCTAATCGCAGAATCACTCAAGGCTAAAACCCTGTTGACCAATCCGGTGGGATTAGTGTCTTCCTGAGAGAAGTGGAAACGATTTCTAGCGTCCCAGAGGCCAGAGCTGCCAACAAAGGAGACCAAACACGATGCACCAGTGTCTGTTCTGATCGTTAAGCCAGAAATTTTCTTTAACTGAGCCATCTATATATCAAACGGTTGTGTCAAAAATTGTTGCTGCCGGGAGATTCCAACATGAGGAGGCTAAAGTGCAGTATCTAAGAATTTAGATCTTCCGAAGCTTTTCCACAAAGTTCACAGCGATATCATCAGACGCCATCTTCCTCTTGAGCCTAACTTGATTGGTAAGAAGCCTGTAGTGCATTGCTAACCAAAAACCCAGAAATTCATCACAATGGTCTAAAAGGTTAGGGTGCATCCAGGAGGAGTTCCAAAATCCTACACCACCCATAATCAAGTGAACACCGCCCAAAATCTCCCTCCTCACTTTTCCCCCTATACTACCCAACTTTTTTTAATTATTTAAACAAAGTGACAAGAGAAGAGTAAAATGAACTCACCATATCTCTGTCCTAACTTCATTCACACACCTGCAATCCCAGATTATCAAAATTATCGTACATTCTTTTTTCGTCAGTGAACCAATCTCTGAAAGTGGCAAGGTAGTAGGCACGAATGCCTTGAGACATAGGCTGTCGTCTCTTTCCTAAATTTTCCTCTTTGCAGTTTTACGACTGAAGCCAGTGCTGCATATACAGTGAACAACTAAAATATAATACTCTTCCGGTATTTAATATAGAATCTAATTTTTGAGTTAGTTTTGGTCCTAAATATAAAACTCATTTATTATATTTATCAATTTTCTCTAAATTACCCCTATAGATACTCTATGAATTATAATCAAGTAGAAGCGGGAGATAAGTATTAAAAAAATGATTATAGTATTTTAAAAAAATGTGTCACTTTTTTTATAATTAACTAATTTATTTAACTTCTTTAATCTAATCAAATTAGTTAAATAAGTTTATATTAAAGACAAAAAGAGTATAATTTATTTTCTTTGCTAGTAACCTGCTTGTAGTTGTGGTGCTGATAGTCACGGTGCTTCCCTTATCGGAATCGAAAAATCACTTGTACCTTTCATTTGGCCTCAAAAATCGATGGCAATACTACTTGGCCTCTCTCTGATTTAATTTTACCAAAGCAAGTGAAGAGCTCTTCAGTACTGAGACTCCATCCCTTCCCTCCATTTTCTCTTCACCTCTCTCTCTCTCTCGCAATAGGATCGCTCCCTTACACTCTAATTCATACCCAGAGTAGAAGAAGGAGGAGGCATAGAAGTTGCAAAGAGATCGATCATGGCATGAGAGGTAAGCCTTGCAAAAATGAGGAGGAGTGTGCTATTACAGCTGAGAGAGACAATAGTATTCGCTTTCAAGGAGGAACTGTTACAGGGGTGAGGAAAGACGTGTGCTTACCCCTGTTCAGCGCCGCGCTCTCTCAAGTGACGTTGTGTGTAAGGGAGGGGCTGATGCCCAAAGAGTTGGATCCAAAAAAAAAAAAAGGAAGAAGAAGAAGCAAGAATCTAATTAAAAAATTTGTAAAATTATAAGCAATACTATATTAGTTTCCCTAATTCTTTTTTTCTGGAAAATAATACTCTTCCAGTCCTTAATATAAAACCCATTTAACTAATTTAATTAGATCAAGGAAGTTAGGTAAATTAGTTAATTATAAGAAATGTGACACATTTTTCTTAAAATACTATAATCATTTTTTTTAATACGTTATCTTTTTTTCTATTTGATTATGGTTGAGGGACTATCTATATAAGTAATTTAGAAAAAATTGATAAATATGAAAAATAGGTTTTATATTTAGAACTAAAACTAACTTAACAATTGAGTCCT